TAAAAGTTAAAAATATGAAAAAGATTGCTTTGGTACTTTCAAACTGAGTTCTATTAAATTATATAATAGGGTGAAAATGTTTAGCATACTATCAAAATGTCAGCTGAATCTGAAATTAATTTGTATTTATTACATATCAGTGTCATAACTATGTACAAAATGTAGAGTGCTCAAGATCACATTACTTTTTTCAAGGTTTCTGCATATTCAAAATTCTCACCCACTACTGATCCACAAGGGATTCTAAATCATTCCTAAAAGGCCCTGTAAAAAGAAATATAGAACTTTGCCACTATAATGGCTAGAATTCTTCTCTATTTTATTTGGAAGATAAAAATAATAAAGTATTAAAAAATACTTTTGAAATGTGCCAGTACTCAAAACCTACAGACAACTAATTCACACTTTAAATCCTCCTAGGATGTGTATGAATATTTTAAGCTTCTGTTAAATAAACAAACAAACAAACAAACAAATAAATAAAGCTGGTTACTATCTCCATGGCAACAAAGGCTAAGGTTGCTAACAGTATGGTTTTCTGCTAAAAGTAAGCTTTGAAACAGCAGAATTCTCACCTCTGATAAGAATGTAATGCTTGGGCCTATTTTTTAAAAATCATGTCACAAATGAAGATCTCAAGTGATTTATATGCATATCTGCTGGCTACTAATAGTCAATATGGATCTTTTTATCATAATCTCACCAATTAAAAATAATGAAAATTTATTTATCTAATATTGTTTAGTACAGAAGAAATTATAATTTAATTCTGAAAGCTCTCAGGTCTACAGAATTTTATTAATACATTATTATGGCAACAAAAATAACAATTTTACCTGCTGAGTTCTGACAAAAACAGCACTGGTCCTTGCTCAAGGGACTCTATATATCTAAAAATTTTAACAATTTTCATAATGAATTTGGGGCTAGTAGACAGAAATTAGCAACTCAGGGTAGATATGTAAGGAAGAAATTGATGTATGAAAGGAGAAATTGAGGGAGGTCTGAGTAATGTACAAGAATTACGAGATGGACTCAAGGGGAAAAATCAGGATCATAAAGATCTGTGAACTCAATGCCTTATAGATCTCTCTATTTTTCCTTCTTAGAGAATTCCAACTGAGGTTATTTTTAGCTCATAGCAGACATTAATTGTTTTTTCCACCTTCATCTCTCCTTTATCCATTCGATGCTACACAGGTCCAAAAATGAATTTGAATTACTTTATAAGGTAGTTTATAATGCTGTTCTGATCCCAGAAAACTAGTATCATCTGTAAGTCAATCAGACACAGACAGTATAATCACAGCATTACAGACTGTCCAGGAGTCTTAAATACTGCCTGGTGGAGAACATAAAAGATCATCTTGGAAGATGACACAATATTTTGCTTGGAAGCCTAGAATTTTAATATACTTCATTGTAAAAAAAATTGTATATGAGATGACTCAGGTGGGTAAGAGAGTTCTAGGTCAAAACTGTTTACCAAATAAAACAAAGAAGAAAGAAAAGAAAAATGAAGTGGCTGAAATGAAGTGGGTAGGAGGACTCTAAAACCAAACCAGGGATTTTACTGTGATGTAGGAGATAATAGGAAACTACTGCTCTGAGAAGTACTCTGAACCAATACTGGGAACATGATTCTTAGGCTGTAAAAGCCTTGAGTTTGGGAATGTGGCAGAGGTCAAAAAAAGATAAACATTAGTTCGGAGTCAAAGACTTAGGTCTTGGCTCTAGTACTTATTAGTAGTAAGAAAACGAACTGTTAACTAAGCTTCACTCAGCCTTAGTTTTCTCACAAAGTCAATGGATTTCTGTAAGTTGAAGCATGTAAATACTTAGCCCAATGCTTGGATATGGTGGTATAGGTCATCTATGAATTTATTAAGACATGGAGCAGGGTGGGCTATGCCTATGTAAAACAAAGTAAGCAACTGTTTTCGAGACACGGTATGGAGAGGCAGTAGAAAGGAAGTACAACATAGCATAATAGTGAAAGGTTACTTAGCTTAGGAATTAAGGGTTTGGGTTCTGAAACCAGCAAGCCTAACTCAGAAGAGTCCCATCTCTTCTACTTTTCCCTAGCTGTGAGAACCTTTCTGTGCCTAAGTTTCCTTATCAGTTATTTGTGGGTTAATAACAGTACCTACACTATGAAGGATGACAAGAACAGTGATATTACCAATTATTTTAAAAATTATTTAAAATTATTTTCATAAAAAGTTTTTAAAATTATTCACAATTTTTCTATTAGGAACATACTAAACCCTATTTTGCAGAGGGGAAAATAGAATCACAAGATCTCATGCCCAAGATCACAAGTGGAGACTATTGTAGATTCATATCCAGGTCTTTTGATTTGGAATATGATATATTGTTTCATTTACAATACAGTTCTTCAAGTACAGACTCATTTAGGAAGAGATGATTTTAAATGATCTATAAAAATGGCAGTAAGTAGCACTGAATTACATAGCATGGGAGAATTTACTAGTATCTATCAATATTCTGGCCTCCAAGCCTTTCTCAGAAGAGGGGTGACTATAATTGCCCTGTGGAGTTTAGGAAGAACTATGTGACTAGTTTTGGCTTATGAAATAAGAGCAGAGGTGACACAGCCCCTGCATGATTCTATAGTCTGTCTCTTTCTCTGGCACAAAAATCAAAGAGGTCTCATGTTGAAGTGGTGGAGATACAAAATTGAAGCAACTTTTATTACTGTTATAAAGGACATAAAGTACAGCTGTCTTGGAGAATTGCCCAAGTTTGCTGGGTAAACTAGAAATAGACCTTTGTTGTGTTAGGCCACTAAGATTTTTAAGGCTGTTTGTTATGATGGCATGGACTCTTTTGACTAATGAAATAGCTACAATGTTATTTCCTTTTCAGTCATCTTTCAGTTATTAGAATATGTCAGAAGAAAATTTTAATGTGGTGCTAGTAGTTAATCCTCCTTTTTCACAAAGAGAAGGAAGAGCTGCGCTTCACAGCCATTGAAGACAAAGGAGTTAACTAAAGTTAATAATGTTCTACTTCATCTTATACCATGTGATGATGATTTTCAAGTTTGATAGATTTATTCAGTGTATAAACCTTCTTTTAAAGTAAACTTATTAAAATAAAAACAAAAATTTTTAAAAATTAGGTAAAAATATGGTTATTAGAAAGTATGGCAAAAATCATTAAGATGCTATGCCAAAGAATGAAATTTAAGAAAGAGTGCTATGCACTGAGCTGTATCTCACTAGAGTAACTTTTGATTTAATTCTCTATGTCCTGTCCATTCTGTGTAGAGTTTTAAGCAAATTATTTAGGCAACTGCATTTAAATTGGTATCCAGCATGAGGAGATAGAGCTGATAAAATATCTTGAGATAATAAGAACAATCCATTAGAGTCATAATTGGGATATGGGCTAGGCATTTCAGAGAATTAAGAGATAGGTGAAATGGAGAGTAGAAAGTGAGTTTAAAAAAGACATATAAACAGACATGGTTATTTGAACAATCTAGTCTTCCAATTAGATACTCTGAGCAGCCTCCTCTTAAATGTTTTGCCATCTTTTCAGGAGAGCCAATGAGCCAATCCAGTCCTACATACTTACGCAGTCACTGACAGCACGGTGAAGGGTCACAGCAGGAAGAGAGAAAGCACAGAGGGGTTCAGTTGTACGTATAGTACGCAATCTCTGAAGAACCTACATCTGGGTTATATTGTGGCATCCTCAGACTAGTATGTGCATATAGAAAAGTTCTAGTTACTCTGTTAAACGGAGAGTAAACCATGAGGCCGTTCTTAGATACAAATGGGAGATTAGTAGGTGCTAAAGCTCATAGTTTCTAAATTGTGCTACCACCCCTCGAAATACCTGAAGGGTCTCATGAAGCTCACTTACCAAACTTGGTATAGAATGAGAACCTTTGGAAAAATTTGCTCTGTATATGAAGAAAGAGAAACGGAAAGATAGATAAGATGGAGAAGATAAAGTATTTCATTTCAGGGAGACAGAAGGAAAGATGCAGGCTGGAAGGAAGACAGGGGCAGAGTGTGGGAATACCTAGATTAAGGCAGCTGTCCTAACAGTTCAGGCAGAACAAGAGCTAGCACCAGAGCCAAAGAAAGAGAGCCGCGTTTTCATCTGAATGAACTGATGTACATACAACCTTGCTGAGAAAGACTGAAATCTCTCAAGCTTACTTCAGACTTAAGTATTTGTAAAAATTATGGTCCTCTCCCATAAACGTCACTACTGTTACAATACAATCATATTTCCTCCTTGTGTTAGGGTAAGCCAAGAGCTAAAACAAACAACCATAAAATCTCAGTGGCTTGATATAAGAGCGTTCTCACTCATTATGACTGTTCAGTAGGAAGCTTCTTATCTTAGAGCTTCAAAGTTCTATGGTGGTTTCTCTGAATCAAACCAGAGGCTAGGGGGAAAAAGAAGAATTGCATACAAGAAATTTTTATAGCCTAGCCTGGAATTGGGATACATTATTTTTACTCATATTATTCAAAATTCAGTAATACGACACACTTATCTGTAAGGAATACTGGGATATATAATTTATCTGTATGCCCAGGAAGAAAGGAGAATAGGTTTTGTTGAATGCATAGTATTCTTTGCCATATTCTATAAAATAAATAGCTTGGAAATTCATTAAGAGTGAGATGCAGAACTAATGAACAAAGTAGAAAATTCTATATAAATTTAGCTTTCTTTCTTTTAAATGAACTGAAAATACATCATACAAAATTAGGATGGGCTTAAATCTACTTTTTCATTCAAATATAATGATACCTCTTATTATGCTTTATAGATTAATTATATCTGTAAATAAAAACAAATATAATACTTTAGATTATAGTGCCTAGAATAATGTCTGGCATATGATAGCTGGTTAATAATTATTTGCTAAATGAACAGTATACAGTAGAAAAATCAAAGACAGGCATTACAAATAGAGTTTTAATAAAACAAATGTTTTAAAAAGCACTCATGGTGCTTGTTCGGCAGCACATACTAAAGTTGGAATAATACAGAGAAGATTAGCATGATCCCTGCACAAAGATGACATGCAAATTCATAAAAAGCACTCATATATAATATAAATGTTAATCACACTATAAATACCCTCACTGACTTAGACTTTCATAAGAGAAACATTATAAAAATCACCATTATTATATTCAGACTATAATAATTTAATTCCTAGCTTTAATGACTGGATTATTTTCCATTAAAAATGTCCAAGAAAATATGCTAATAAGGACATAATTTAGTTAAAAATGAAACACTAGAAAAGACACTTTAGTTGTGGCCAAGCACCTCCACATTCAGCGGTATGTGAAGGATGCATTAACGAAAGATGTCAGCATGCTTCTTATGACTGACTTTCACCAGGAAGGCTAAGCAGCTGTTTTCTGATCCTCAAAGGCATTAAGTCACTAGATCAGTCTGATCCTTTTGAGCCTTTTTAAAGCGTTGTTTAGGCAGGTGTGTTGTAACTTTGTACTCCAAGGCTAGTTTAGCCATGCTACCAAAATGTGTCCTTTCTTGGATCTCTACTGAATGCTCCTAATGCTTTTAACAAGATCTCTATACTCTGTCTGGTCAGAATGAAAAACACCTCCAATTCCCATGGGAACTCAAGGAATTGTTCAGGTTAGAGTTCCCTGCTATTTATTTTTTTCTCTAGCCTCATGGAGTCTCACCCCACCTATGTGCAACTCAGTATTATGACTCAACAGGACTCAAAGGACCTATGCAGAATTTTGTGGTTCATTTCCGCTAAGCTCTCCATTCTTCAATACTCTGTAAATTTCAGTTGCCTTGGTTTCCCCAATTTCTCATCTCTGTTACCTCAGTTCAACAAGACTGTCATTCTCTGAGTCCCCAATCATTAGGAAAATACGTTTAAGGCAAAAAGCCAGAGTTCACCTAGTTTCCTCCCCCATCCTTTCTCTAAGGCAGAGGTATCAAACATCTTCACCAGGGGCTATATCAGCCTCCAGTTTGCCTTCAAAGGGCCGAATGTAATTGTAGGACTGTATGAATGTAACTGCTCCTTAACAGCTAAGTGAAAGCTCGGTGCTCTCCTGCCGGGTAGAAACGAGGTGCTGGGCCGGATAAAACAAGTGGAGGCTGCATTTGGCCACGGCTTTGTGTGTGACACCCGTGCTCTAAGGGGTCACATTACCATGCTGTCAATTGTCCTGTCTCTGAAAACAGTTGTTTCTAGTGAAAGGGGAAGTCCAGTACAGGTCACACCATCCTAATGGGAAGAAGAACTTTCTCATGGTGTTTTTTTTATTTTTTTATTTTTTTTTTATCCTCACCTAACAACATGCTTAGAGAGGGAAAGAAGGAGAGACAGAGGAAGAAAAACATCATTTGAGAAAGAAACATTTATCGGTTTCCCTGACTAGGGACTAAACCCACACCCTAGGCACATGTCCTAACTGGGAATTGAACCTGTGACCTTTTGGTTTACAGGAGGACACTCCAACCAACTAAGCCATACCAGCAGGGCTCTCATGGTATTTTAACTTGTCTTTTCCAGATGTTTATTATTCACAACACAGCTCACAAAAAGCAGAACTTTGTCTCACATATTGGTGTAGCCTTAGTGATGATTATTAATAGTGTGGGCCACAGAGTGAGTACTATTATTTGTTAAATAAATTAACTATTTCTGTTTATCTATATATTTTTGGAAACATAAATAACCTGTTTAAGTCTTTCATACATTTGGTGATCAAGGCCTAACAAAACTGGTGATTCAAAGCCATATCCAAGGTAACTCGAGAGTTAGTCTGTGCCTCCCATGTAAATTCTACTTTCATGCAATTATGTTGTGCGGCACAAAAGGATATAGTAGACACATAAATATAAAGATAGACCACATGAGCAATAAATATGGAAACCAGCATAGAGCCCCAGAAAGTTACTCCAAAAAATGACTGCAATAACTTTTAAAACATACCTACAACACCTTCAGTGGCATTTTGAATAAATTAAAGACTGTCAAGAAAGAAAATTGAGATTTAAATCTTTGTTTGCCTATACATGTTATAACAAAGAAAAAGGCACATTACTGTAGCATACAACCCACTGCTGTACAAATCATCTCTTTATAGCAGTGAATGGCAAAACTCAGGGTATGTGAGATAAAATAAGATTTTAATGACCTATTAAATAGGTCATTATAATATAATCTATTGAAAATAGATTTCAATGACCTATTTTAATATCCTTGCAGATACAAATCAATAATCTGAGTTCAGAAAAACCTTGTAAATATGCTAATAATACTCAAATGCCAATCAGTTTAACGGCATTAGGTTTCATTTCCATATGTCTGAAGAAACACTAGGTTTTCAATAATATAAGAAGGAGTTCCAAATTTCAAAATTTTGGATATGTTGGCTTATGTGAGATTTTTGGTTTACTGATACAAGCAATTCTATATATTTGTCAGGCCAACATCTGAGTTTTAAAGTAGCTATATAATATATAACTACACTTAAATTTAAAATATTACATAAATGCATTTCATCATAGAAATTGGAAAACAAGAAGCAAATATAATGCAATTAAAAGTTATCAGAATCCCAATGCAATACCTATTAAAGTACCAATGGCATATTTCACAGACATAGAACAAACACTTGAAAAAATTTATATGGAACCATAAACAACCCCAAATAGCAGCTGCACTTTTGAAAAAGAAGAACAAAGTAGGGGGGATCACAATACCTGATATCAAACTGTATTATAAGGCCACTGTAATCAAAACAGCCTGGTACTGGCATAAAAACAGGCACATAGACCAATGGAACAGAACAGAGAGCCCAGAAATCAACCCAACTCTCTACAGTCAATTAACATTCGACAAAGGGGGCAGTAACATAAAATGGAGTAAAGATAGCCTCTTCAACAAATGGTGTTGGGAGAACTGGACAGCTACATGCAAAAAAATGAAACTTGAGCACCAACTTGCACCATACACCTAAATAAATTCAAGGTGGATAAAAGACTTAAATATAAACCATGACACCATTAAAGTCCTAGAGGAGAACACTGGCAAGAAAATCTCAGATATTTCACGCAGCAACATTTTTACTGATATGTCCCCTACAGCAAGGAATATAAAGGAAAGAATAAACAAATGGGATCTCATCAAAATTAAAAGCTTCTGCGTGGCTAAAGAAAACAGTATTAAAATAAAAAGACAACCAACTGTATGGGAAAACATATTTGCCAATGATACCTCAAACAAGGGTTTAATCTCCAAAATATACAAAGAACTTACACGACTCCACTCTAAGAAGACATCTAACCCAATTAAAAAATGGGCAAAGGACTTGAACAGACACCTCTCCAAGGAGGACATACAGAACATCCAGAGACACATGAAGAGATGCTCAATATCATTAGCTATCAGAGAGATGCAAATTAAAACCACAATGAGATACCACTTTACACCGGTCAGGATGGCTATCATAAACAAAGCAACAAACAACAAATGTTGGAGAGGTTGTGGGGAAAAGGGGTCCTTAGTTCACTGTTGGTGGGATTGCAGACTGGTACAACCATTATGGAAAACAGTATGGAATTTTCTCAGAAAAATAAAAATCAACCTGCCTTTTGACCCAGCAATTCCACTGCTAGGATTATATCCTAAGAATCCTAAAACATCAATTTCAAAGAACCTATGCACCACAATATTCATAGCAGCACAATTTACAATAGCCAAGAGTTGGAAGCAACCTAGGTACCCGTCAGTAAATGAATGGATCAAAAAATTGTGGTACATATACACAATGGAATTCTATGCAGCAGAGAGAAAGAAGGAGCTACTACCCTTTGTAACAACATGGATGGAACTGGAAAGCATTATGCTGAGTGAAATAGGCCAGGTGTTGAAAGACAAATACCATATGATCTCACCTTTAACAGGAAGCTAAACAACAAAACAGACAAGCAAGCAGAATAAAAACAAAAACACTGAAATAGAGAACAAGGGGACAGTGATCAGAGGGGAGAGGGAAGGGAATTTAAGGGGGAAAAGGGGGAGGGATTTGGAGGAACAAATATGAAGGACACAGGGACAAGAATTAAGGGGAGGGTGGAAATGGGAGGAAGGCGGGGAGCATGGGGGGGGGGGCCGGGATGGGAGAAATAGAAAAAAACTGTACTTGAAAAATAACTAAATAAAATTATTAAAAGTTTCATATTTTTTTCATTTACAAAAAAAAAGTTATCAGAATCCTACCTCTGTTAACGTTTCAGAGCATACAGCCTTTCCTATCATTTTATATAAAGTATTAATGCCAACAAAAGCAGCTAAAATAATTGGTGACTTCTGTTTAATATATGGCTTTTGAAAGGAACTGAGACCCTAAAAGTGGCAAGTAAATTTACTGAGCAATATTTTACATGAAGTGAACAGTATACCTGAGAGGAATTGTATCTCTAATATGAAAATGAAATTAGCTACAGGTTTTTTCCTTGTTAAATGACTCTCACCTCCTCAAAATTTACAATATCTCAAACAAATTTTATATATGTAACTTATAAATAGGTAACATTTATATATGTAATTTATGCAATATGGAGCAGACATGTGTTATAACTATGGAATGAGGCTAGATGTACTTTTAAACATTCTAAAAATTAGTTAACACATCCCCATGTCTCTCAAATTAAAGAAAAGATATATTTTCTCTAGCACCTTTAAACAAAAATAATATAGCTATAATTCATATCTTCTCATCATATTCCTATAAGAAAGTAGAGAAAAAGAAATAGTAGGTAAAGATATGAACATTTAGCATAATGCTCTCCAGTTCCATCCATGTTGTCACTAAGTATAGGAGCTCCTTCTTTCTTTCTGCTGTGTAGTAACCCAGGTGGTAAGTGAAATAAGCCAGGGGTGAAAGGCAAATACTGTATGATGTCACCTTTAAGTGAAGCCTAATCAACAAAACAAACAAGCAAGTGAAATATAACCGGAGACATTGAAATTAAGAACAAACTGACAGAGGGGTGGTGGAGAGGGGGGTAAAGGGGGGTAGAAGGGGGAAGGGTTTTCAGGAACAAC